GTACAGAAAATAGAATTTTATGTGTCTTGAGAAACATTTATGCATAAGAAATTCTGTTGAGTGGAAAGTTGGTATATACCTTTGCATTGTTTGGGTGAAGGGCAGACTCTGGGGCCTGGGAAAGAGTTTACCCTTAGGACTGATACTGGGGTTTGCTCTCCCTTCTTGAGTTCTGGGTCTTACTAGGGGGGCGGGGAGAACGTTCTCTAAGTCTGCCTTGAAAAATAAAACTGTCTGTGGTGAGCAACATCAATATAATGGATTGATGTTGATAAAGGGTCACCCCAGGGGAGAATTAACACTTTTTTCTTCTGAATACATATGTGTGAAAGAGACTCCTTTACCAGTTATTTAATTTTTTTTAAAAAAACAAGCCAAAAATGAGTTAAGGACTCCAGCAGGTATTGTGCACTTCCTCTTTAAGAGGCAAACCCAAAGAGCCTCAGACACAGGACATGTTTTCCCCCGAGGAGAGACTGCAGAGGTTTGTCAAGGTAGATACCTGCCCCAACTAAGACTCCCATCCAGGTTGCTCCCCCTCCATTGCTTGTTTTCTATGTTTGAATCTTAAATAGTGAATATGTAGAAATAAAGTTACCCTTACTTGATCCAACTGCAAACCTTTGGCCTTGGTATTTCAGGGTTGGTCATCAAAATGTTGTTCAGTACAGGAAAGTTGTTTTCTGTGCAGAAAATGCTCTTTTCTGTGCAAACTTAGATGTGCAAATTTATTTTTTCATATAAGCCATAAATTATTGTAGTTTTCTACAACTATCTTGCAGTGAGTAGAAAATGCTAAAATCATTAACTTCTTTCTGTAAAAAAGAAATTTACAAAAACATCCTTATGTAAAACGTATCTGATACTGTTATAGTGTTATATTTTGTCAATTCCCCATTTATTTTCAGAGCTATTGTTTTGTATTCAGTGACTAAGAATTAAGTATCCTTTATCTGATTGCAATTTTCATTATTCTATACAGAAATGTCACAAAAAGTATTGATTTTTAAATCTAGCGTGAAATTCATTTGGTTTTGGTAGACTATTGCTTCATAAGATGTAAATACTTCCATCTATGCAGTTGGCAATTACTGTCCTATGCCCTGTTTTTTAAAGTAAAGCCTTTTCCTTTAATCTCTTTTCTGCAAGTTTCATTGTCAAATTCCCTGTACAGATGTTTATATAAAATGTAGATACCTGCCCCAACTTCCGGGGATCAGGAGAAGATTCCGGGGATCAGGAGAAGATAAAAAGTTACCTGTTTGTGATTTCCGTAAAAGACAAGGGGAAAATTAGAGTGTTTATTTGAAGGTCATGTTCTAAATCTTACCACAATGAAAATACATAATATACTTCCATCACATTATTAATATTATTGAATGGAAATAATATATATGCAATGCAGATCTTCTACTGCATTATTAGCCAGGTCTTGCCACAGAACCTTGTCAGCAGGTTCTGTTTCCTGAATTCCTTGACATAATTGAAGTTGCTACATTTTCTTCCAATCTGGAAAAAGCAAACACAAGACCCTGGAGGCTATTGCCTAAGGCAGAAATGACATAGATTTTCTTTATTCCATTACATGTCCCTGGTTCCAGGAGACTTTCATTAGCTTGCCGCAGCTAGAAGAGGAGAAAGTTACTACAGTAGCAAACAAGAAAGTGGCTGGATGTGATAATATCAGTAATATTGGTAGGTGTTTATGCTTATTTACCTACTTTGATGCAAAGGAGCAAAGGGCTTGGTGTGCAACATTATGCACCTTATCTTTATACAGACTTTTGATAATAGGAGTATGAAGAAATAACAAACCTGTTTTTAGAGTTCATTACATCATGAGGAAAGCTTTATGACCAGTTGGTCTCCAAGTAATTGGAGATTGCATTGGAAATTCAGTTCATTTGGAAGTAGTAGATTTACTATAACTGATTTTCAAAGCACCTTACTTTAAATATGTTGCAAAATAAGACAATCATATTTCAATGCAGACAATGCCTTTTCTCTTGAATTGCCCTGCTATAATGTTTCTTGTGGAGGTTACTTCTTGCTTGCTAAAGCAAGGTAAAGGTCTGTCCTTCCTCCTTGCTGGAGTCTGAAGAGTACAGGGAAAAGGGTGGACCTATACACATCTGCTATCCCAGGGCCAAACTGGCATGATGTATGCCAGATCAGCCCCAGGATGGGTCAGACTGATACCCTTCACTACAGTGGCAGGAGGGAGTTCCGAGCACCCAGAAGTGCCAAACACATTTCAGCACCACTGGTATCAGAAGCCTAGGCTACAAATACTATCTGAGCGTTAATCCACAGTCCAAGGTGAAGTCAATAGTCCAACAGAAATGCAAACAATAACAAAATAACACAGTAGAAAAGTCAAATGTCCATTCCAAGGTCATAAGCCAAAAGACAGAGTACAAGGTTGAATCAGAATCCATATCTGAGATGCAAGCTAAGTGCAGGGGTCAGGAAACCCAAGATAACAAGAATCCAGGGTCGTAGCTTCTAGAATTGATGTTGCAGCCAGCAACAAGGTGCTAGGCTTGAGTTACTTAAATCCTAAGTCCACCTATTGCTGGCTCTTTATCATATACTCTCAAGGACCTGTGCAGCCAGCACCTCTCTCTTTGGAGATCTACAAAAGCTGGAACATTTAACTTCTCATCAACCTACTCAAAGGAACTCACTTGCACTTGTTCTCCAGACTGAGAAGTAGAAACGCCTTCCATAGGTGCTTCCTCAAAGCTTGGTTGAAGCAGCTTCTGGGCAATGCTCGGCTCCAGCTGAGCCTTCCACAAGAATCTCCCCATCCATACTTGCGAAGCTATCCCTCCCATGGTCTTCTCCTCCTTCCCAAGGAGGACTGAGTTAGTCTCAATGAAATTGCACTACCAACTGCCACTGAGTTTGCACATCAGTGGCAATCTCCCAGAAACGCTCCTCCAGACCGTACTCAACCCAGCAAATCAAGTACTCCAGACTGCCCCTTCACTGTCAAGACCCTAACATTAGTGCCACTTCAAAGTTGTTCTTCCCATCAACCAAGACCAAGGTGGTGGAAGTACCAGAACAATGTCAGAGTGGAAATTGGTAACAGGAACCAGGGGGAGTGATGAAACACTAGATGAATGTGCTGGAACTGAGGCAGCTGCAGCTATAAAGTCAGCGCATTGATCTGAGCCACAATGCACTATAGCCCAATGAATCTATTGTCAAATTTCTTACAAGGGCACCTCAGAGACAAATGCCATGTGGTGAGCCACACATAATTGCTCACTTTCAATTCAGCCTCTGGTTGTTGCTTCTGGTCCTCTTATATGCCACCTTGGCTTGACCCAGCGGCATTTTTTTAGATTCAGGCCAAGGTCTTTAGGCACTACACCCAATGTGCCGATCACGGGACCACCTTTATTTGCTTGTACCAGAGTCTTTGCAGTTCAGTCTTTAAATCCTCATATCATGTAAGCTTTTCCAGTTGCTTCTCATCAATTCTGCTGTTGCCTGGGATTGCAACATCAATGATCCATACTTTTTTCTCACTATAATGAGGTTATTATTATTATTATTATTATTATTATTATTATTATTATTATTATTAGAGTACCTCAAATGGCCCATCCAGGTCAGCAAGCCATTAAGGGGACTGCCCCTGGATTCACCCAGAGGTAGATGAGGAGATGGTCATGGGGTAATACCTGTCCTTCTGCCATGACACATTTCTTTGTTGCTCCCCCCCAAGTTATTTTTACTGCCCAGGAGTGCAGTTTAAATATAAAGATCAATAAACGACCCTTTGTTCCATATTTTCGATGTCTGGTCTCTTATTTCACAGTGGTACTTCAAGTCGAGACCAACAGGTCTCTTTATCAAAGTGTTAACATTTTATTACTGAGTTTTCACTACTTTGCAATGGCATCACAATGCTTCCCCTCTCCTTGATAATTTGTTTAGAATGCCACCACCTTCCATTTTCATTCCTCTTTCTTCACAGCTTCTCGCCTTCACGTTCTCGCAACTGGCCTAGCTGTTTTGTTGTTGGTTGTTTTTCCTCCTAACTCTGTTTCAGTACTCATGACTAAATGTGGTTTTGACATTTTGGGTTTTGTAGTTTGGTGAAGCACCAGCACTTTTTAGGGGAGATCTTGTTAAAACTACAGCTGTCATGATCCCATAGCATTGAGCCATGGCAGTTATACTGGTATCAAACTACATTGATTTTAGAGTGTAGATGCACTCTTAGGCTTAATTGCTAGAGTCATACAATCTGACTTGTTTACAGTTCCTTCAGCAGCTACTGTCTTGAGTTTTCAATCTGCACTAGGAATTTCAGACAATAACATTGGTTACTCTAATGCTTGTCATAGTTTCTGAAAGTCGTCTTCTTCTTCTTCTTCTTCTTCTTCTTCTTCTTCTTCTTCTTCTTCTTCTGCAAGCCTTTCTTTTCTTTGCTAACATTCTGTAAACATGCTTCTCCACATTTATAATATCCTCTAAGTGCAATGAAATAACTAACGTATCTTAGATGCTATTAACAATCATATCTCATCTTTTCTCAACTGTTCCTGCCCTGCCCTGTCCAGCTGGATCAGGACAAATGGAGGGATAAGTCTATGTGTAAAAGTAACAGACTACTGGACATCAGTTAAAATTTGTGTTGTTTACTCATAGTTCCACTGTTATATGCCCTTTGAATATTGCAGATATTCAAAGGGCATATAACAGTGGAACTATGAGTAAACAACACAACACAGATATGAGTTGTAATGCTTCAAAAAAGCATGAAGCATTACAACTCATTCTAGGACTTTTGACTTCATTTTGTCCTCATAATACAGACCACACCGGACAATGATTGACAGGTTGTTTCCTTGCTGTGACAGCACCCAGTAATATATCACTGATGCTGATTCATTCAACTTTATAGTGAGTGTTGCGTTCTTTTTCTTGTTAAATGCCTTGTCAAAGAGACATGTATTAATTTCACGTCTTCTCTCTTTTAGTGGTGTCCATGGCCATTTCAATGGTAAACGTCCTTGGGCTTTAGGAGATGAGTGCATTGTAGAACTAATGGCTAATATTGTGGGTAAGTAAAGAAAATTTTGAAACATTCCTCCCCGACAAGTTTTGAAATCTCAAATAAGATACTTTAGAACATAGAATTATTCATCCAAATATTCCTGCTTTTTCTCCTTCCCTGATTGCTGATCAGTAAGCATGGGATGCAGTACGTTTTAAAGCTCCGAAGAAAGAAGATTTAATACAGGCAGTAATATATGACCAAATATAGATCACAAAACTAATTGCAATGTTGGGTTCTGGGATCGCCATAAACTATTTAGGCTAACATATGAAGCCAAAGTAAACTTGGCACCTTTACAAATGTCTTTTAATGTCAAAGTAAATCAGTGATCGGTCCTTTTGATTTCAGAGCAATGAATGCCAGTTACATGGTAATATTTGTAATTGCAATGGACAGAGCCAAATGTTTACAAAGGATTGATAGTACAGAATTTGATTAAAATGTGGGCTGATGCTACCTGTCAAATTGTCTGTAGAAAATGGAGGGGGGAAAAAAGGACATAGGTGGTGTGAATAAATGCGCCACTCTCATTTTCATGTGAAATAATCAGTACATGACAGTGGTACAACTATGTTCCTCAGAGTAGTTACAAAATAAAATATATTGCCAATTTTAAATCAATGCACTATGAAAATGTAGTAACCATAATAGTAGTACAGGTATATTTCAGTTAATGAAATAGATCCATTCCCAAGCACTCCATCTTCAACAGAAAATGTGGTAACAGAGAAATAAATAGCATGGAAAGAATAGGATTCTTATACCACACACACACAAAAAAGAATAGTCCAAGATAAACCTGACCTGATTGTTTCATTTCACACATGCATACTATCAGTTTTAAATTTCAAAAACCCTTATCAGGTAACCTTTTAAAAACCCATATCAGATAACCCATATGAGGTAACCTGTGGGAGTAAACAAAAACAAATCGAAGTTTCTAGAGACCACTAGAAGATTTCTTCCAAAATGCATCGTATCTCTTGTTATTTCCCATTTGGTGGCCAAACTTACAGATTTATGCTTTTAAAATAGATTTTGGAGAGCATACAGACAGCGAATAAGAAGGAAAATGCAATGGGATAGCGAGGGCCATAGAAACCCTTCATAAAAATCACTTTCATAGTCAAAGGGTTTGTTGACTGAGATTTGACCGTATGGACTTGGAGGAGTAATTGAAAAACAGAAATATACAGCATTCTGCTTCCAAAAAAATTAAGTAAAATATATGTGTGTGTACCTCAAATGTATATTTTTGGCTGCTCTTTTGCCAATGGAATTCTTTCTCACTGGACCTTCAGACCCATGTGGTGGAAAATTGTGAACTTGTATTTAGAAATACCATGAACATTTTTGATATGGCCTCTGTGCACATCCTGCCATATTAATTCAGATATCATAAGTGACCCATGTGAAGGATGGCCAGGGGCCTGTCCAGGCAGGCCCATATCTTGGGAGCTGTATAGGTTTTACCTGAGTCATCCAAACGATGCCTCTGGTAAAACCAAATTAATTCGGAACCATTAAACACCTGGTAAGATGAACTGAACAGCAGGTAAGATCTGGATCTTATGGTAAGATCTGGGCCTTAGCAGGTGTGGATTGAACCCAGGGACCACATCATGTGTTCCCCAGGCCCAATCCACACAGACATCTCTGTTTTTTGGGTTCCAGGAGCCCTACTCCTTTCCCCCAGACCCCAAATGTAGGCCCTAAAACTTACCTGAAAGCAGCTGCCAGGCATGGGGCCAGCTTGCAAAATTCTCCTGGTGTGCCAAAATGTCACATGAGAATGGGAGGATGGATAAGGGAGCTTTGAAGCAGGCCCCCATGCTTAGCAGCTGCTTTCAGATAAGTTTTAGGGCCTAAATTTGGGGGTTGAGGGGTGGCTGACTGTTATCCTGATTACAATCAGGATAGCGTCTAGACACCCGGGAGGAAAAAAAAGGGTTTGGGGTGGGGTTTGGGGATTCCAATTGGGGTGAAAAGGGTTATTCTTGTTTTCACCCACAATTACCTGCTCTCTGGAAGCACCCCAGCATAGAAGATCCATATCCCCTGTTGTGATTAAGGAACTCGGTATTGCTAAAATCATGCATAGATTTGGTATCATTTCTGTTAAAACAAATGTTTCAAATCCTTGCTACTCTTTATCCATGGTATTTGTAAAATGAAAGTATGTGACAATTTAGAGAAGCCTATAATGTGGCCTTTTTATTGCTGCTTTGTTTCAGCCCTGCCAAATTAGAATACAAGCAGGACCATCATAATTAGGAACGTGTAACTTCAGTGGGTTGGCAGCAGAGTTTATTTTTCTTCTGTCAGGTGAAAATTTATGGGATTGCTGTTCTGTTCTAGTTAGACTATATTTATCTACAACAGGAAGACAAATGTGGTAATTTGAAGGCCACATTCTGGCTGTGTTGGAAAAGGAGAAAATGCATATTACTTAAATATATTCTTGAAAGATTATTCACATCGAACAGATCTGAGATTAATTTCTTCAGATGTGTTATGCATGCCGGTCCTCACATTTATATATATTCAATTATGTTAGATGTGAATGATATATTTGTGTTATTACTGGCTATTCACAGGTTGAATTATATAGGCACACCTCAGTTAGCAAAGCCTCTGATTTTTTTAAAAAGCTCCATTTTACAAAGTCTTTTTATGAGACTCCAGTACAGCCACACATCTTCTTGTCTTCTGTCTAGTTGGATGTTTTATTGCACCATTGGCACTGGGAGGATAATGAAGACAGTTGCAGTAGCACATCTGCAGTAAACAATGAAATAGAGCTTAATCTGAGAAAGAATGAGGTTCTATTCTGCAGCTGTGTGTGCTTATCTACAACATGCAAGGGAAACAGCTACCCCTAGATTCATTTATGAGCATATGTGAATAGCAACACAGAAAGGAAACAAGAAAGCATATTAGCCTGCTTCGCCCACTCACCTGACATATTGATAAAGCTTAGATCTAAGAGTTTCAGCACCAGAATGGAAATCAAACCAAAAATGAAAGATGCAAAATGAGAAAAATCATTCTGAGATGCATTTTGAAAGAAGCATTTGTATTTTTCAGGTTCACAATCCTTTTGGTTACTTATTCAAGACTTTCATTTAATTGGTGTGTATTATTAGTTTCAAAAAAAAATCTTACTTAAAAAAGATGAACTGCTCATCTTTGATGTGGTGTAGAAACCAGAGGTGTGCAAAATTGTCGTTACTCTTCGTATTTTGTATCAAATTCATTAAATTTGTGCATATGAATCAAACATGCAGGAAAGGTTGTGGGGGAATTTAAAAATCAAAACACTCACCAATAATGTAATATTTGGATGCCTCCCAAGGTCAGTTTAATTTTCAGTATAAGCATGAAGCAACTTTGGTAAAGCCAAGAGAATACAAAGTGTTTTAAAAACCAATCCTTTTTCTTTAGCCCCATCATCCCAACAGGCAAGGCACTGGGGCAGAACTACCAAAGTTAATGAGCAGGAGACTGAAAACACAGCATTTTTAGAAATGTAATTTGGGAAGGCGAGGGACCCTGTGGCAGAAAATGCAAAAGACCCTGACCAAAAATGCATTTCCCAGAATGCTGTGCTCAGCATCAGAAAGCCCCAATGGCACTAGTCATTTGGAGCCATAATAATAATAAATAAAATTATTGAATCTGCAAAGGGGACTAAAGTAAGTAAGTTATAGTATAAAACTGTGCTAAGCTGAAGTTATGTGGTTGTTTGTCATAAAGAATGACAGACATTTAAGGGGATTGCTTTTGTCGCTTTTTAGGGGGATTTTTAAACTTTAAAAAAATTTTAAACCCAAAAATGTGTAGATGTGTGAATCTTTCTGAAACTTCTGAGAATTGATACCCTGGCCATCTTGTTCATTACACATAAAATTCAAGTAGATAGCTCTTGTAGTTTTTTTTTAATGTAGTTTATACCAACTTTGAAAATTCCCCAAAAATTTGTGGAAAAATGAAATGTTCCAAAATTTGGTGGGCGGACAGTGGTAAATGTATGCTACCATTGTAGTAAATTTCACTCCATTGGCTTTAAAAATGAGGGAAAAGGGAACCCCTGAACTTTCCCCAATTACAGTAATTATGCGCAATTAGTGTAACAAAATAGTAATGGAATTTCGTTACTCTTGTTATAGTAACACATTTTTCATTAGCTATACTTTAGAAATACTGTAGAAACAAAGTGCCAATGCCCCCCCCCCCCCAATTTTGTAATGATTTTAAACCTTTTTTTAAATGGATCACACATCTCTAGTAGAAATCCATATTATTTCTCTTTCTGGTATTAATGTTTTGTTAAAGAAGTAAAGCCCAGAAACAAATCTACTTTCTTACTTTCTACTTTCTACTTTCTTAACTAATATGTGTGAGAGGTGTAAGTGTGTACCTTCAAGTTGCTATCAATCTATGGCAAGCCCATATCATAAGGTTTTCTTGGGTAAGGAATACTAATAATAATACTAATACTAATACTAATACTAATACTAATACTACTAATAATAATAATAACAACAACAACTTTATTTTTATACCCCGCTAGCCATCTCCCCTAGGGGACTCGGGGTGGCTTACAAGGGACAAGCCCAAAAGTTACAATTAAAACATGCAAGTAAAACACTTACCAATAAAAAACATCAGATAAAAACAATACAACACAATTATAAACAACAAACAGCAATATGGCTGAGAAAAAAGAACATAGCTGAGGTACAGATTCAATGAGTACAATACATTTTACAGGAGTGCAAGAACCAGTTAACTCCGGAAGTAGGACAAAGTGGGAGCCTGTCTCCCTAGGGAGGGAGTTCCAGAGCCGGGGGGCCACCACTGAGAAGTCTCTCTCCCTCATCCCCACCAACCGTGCTTGAGATGACGGGGGTGGGGAGAGCAGTGCCTCTCTGGATGATCTCAAGGTACATACTGGTTCATAGGGGAAGAGACAATTGTGGAGATAAGCTGGTCCTGAACCA